GCATTATTTGAAAGTTGAAGGGAGTTTATCCTCGCTATCCTGGCCAACAATCCCCAAAATAAAATTGATCATTCACATGATGCTGCTTGTGGGATGTTGCTGTGCACAAATTGGATGTCGTGTTCGCACAAAAAATATACAATCACTCCACTTTAGACTAAATCTTGTGAAGCACTTTAGAATGGCCTCCGGAAGTGAAATTAATATGTTATTAATATTGTAGTGCAATAACTCCAGCTGTTAAGCTACTGAACACCAGGCAGAAAATTGTGAGTGTGTGCATGAATGTCAAGGCTCTAATCTATCCAACGTATTTGCCTCAATTGGGTAAATCCCAAGATTTATCCCTCTCCAATACATGGGTTGCAGTTGAATATGTTCCAAGGTTTCTGTCCCTTCTGCACACCCAGTTTAGTGTATAAAAAAATCACTTGGATACATTGAGAATGCAGTACAGCAAAACACATAGTTTGTATTAGGTTGTGAGTATTGTTTAGAATTCGAAGAGTTAAACCTGCAAAATGTTTTTGAAGAATAGGCAAAGACTGAAAAAAATCAAACTATATTTAGGCTTGTATCTCGCTTAGCATTTGGTCCACAAAAAGAATTTGACGGGGTGTAGTTTGAATAAAATAGATGCAATTGAAGGAGAAAAAGCACAGCACAAATTGCTTCCTAAGCATCAGTTTGATAAGAAACAATTGCAATCTTCAATTCTCACTGCACAGAATGCAGTGGGTGCAATATCAAGGGCAACAGTTAAAGTTTTTATAAATACACTAAGAGAAAAAGAGTGGTAAAGGGGACTGTGGGCCCATTAAAGACATATGTGGGTGAAACTATAATGGATAATAAGGAAATGGCAGGCTTGTCAAATGAATACTTTGTTCCTATTTTCACAGTAGAGGAAGAGGATAAAAAAAACAGCAGTACAGGAAAACCTAAAAATAAGCCAGAGGAGTATTAAATACAATACAAAGAAGAGGAGGGTCTTGAGACGTGCCTTGAAGGAGGCAAGGGAGGGAGTGAGGCGAAGCGAATGAGGGATGGAGTTCTAAAAGGTGGGGGCAGAGAGGTTGAAGGCTCGACCGCCGATGATGGGGGAGGACGTGGAGCAGGCCAGAGCCTGCTGAGTGGAGGTAGCGGACAGGACGATATAGTGTTAGCAGGTGTCAGCTTTTCCCCCTACATGGAAATGACTTGGATGAAGAGAGTTTTACATCCAAAGTTAGGAGGCACAGTAAATTGAGTAGACGGTAGTAGCAAGTTACAAAGGGATTTAAACAGATTAAGTAAGTGAGCAAAACTGTGGCAGATGGAATTCAATGTGAGGAAGTGTGAGATCGTCCACTATGGATCCAAAAATAGAAAAACAGAATATTTTCTAAATGATGAGAAACTGAGAACTGTGAAAGAGCAAAGGGATTTGGGTATCCACGTATACAAATCACTAAAAACAAGCTCACGGGTACAAAAAGTTAATAAAAAAGCTGATGGGATGTTGGCCTTTATCTCAAGGGGGATGGAATGTAAAGGAGAGGAATGGTGTGCAAAATCAGGGTATCATATTGCTGCAGCCAGTGGTATATGTGTGTGTGTATGGGGTGGAGGGTGCTCTTCTGATATTGGGGCTGTTACATTAACCAATATAGAAGGAGCTTCACTCTGATTCTTACCTGTTTTGTGTTTGACCTTAGTGTGTTTGATGGAAAAGTGTAACAGGAGTGTGATTGCATCTTCCTGTGCTTGACCTGGGAGTGTTTGATCAGACATTGGCAACAAGAGTGTTAACAAGACTGCATCTATCCTGTGCCGTGCTGGGAGTGCTTCGAGACGCCAGAAATGGGAACCTTTTTTTCAAAAAAAAGAAGAGATGCGAGTTTGGAGATCCCTTTGGTGTTTACATTGTACCAGCCCTGCACACATGGCAGAATCAAACCTAGCATTGAAGGGACACAGATCTATCCATGTACAAGGTTTACACTCATGGGCAATCTCTCTGGCTCTAATGTAGCATGGATATTTAGGGAGTAAGGGAAAAGATGAATGCAAAAATAGGGGCACAGACAATGACAAAGAGATAGATACCACGACTGACACAAAGGGATAAAGATAGATTAAAAGCCCAAGCAGAGAGAGAGAGAAACAGAGACAAAGAACTAAAAAGCTGCAGAGCTGCAGGGACAGAGAGAAAGAGAGAGAGGGAGAGAGACGGTAGCAGATAAGAACATGACGTCAGTTAAAGTTATACACAGAGCGACAGAGATAGAAGATAGATGGAAGGACAGAACAGAGAGGAAATGTGCTGAAATATAAAGAAATGGTATATTCTGTAACAATTTCATCTGGCACCTGAAATGTAAAAACATCTGACCATTAATTAGAGTTAAAATATCCAAATCATCAGAACCAATCAGCCGTCTACCTGAATGACACATATCTAAAAGAGTGACTTTGTGCTACCAGGTTAAGGTGTTACAGGATATGTTGAAATGTGTGCTCAGCATCACACCGAGTCTGTTGCAGAGACTCGGGTAATTTGAGCTGGGCTTCAATCACCTAGGATTGTTTGCGCTAAAGTCTACACGTGTTCTGCCGCATGACAGCTGCTAAAATAATTTTTCTATGGAATCACCGTGCTGCATATTAATTGAGAAAGACCGCAGCAGGTTACAGTGAATTAAGGTAATCCCCTTTCACCCTTCTGTCCTGTAGTCAGTGTCCTCAACAATTATCCACAAATTGCCCAGAGCCATATCAGAAAATCCTCAGAATTTGTTAATAGCTTGTTCGTAAAAGGTTAGGCTAAGAAATGTCAGCTCATTTCATGGGCAAAAATTTATATTTCTGTAAGGTCAACAGTTAAATAGACTTTGTAATTTTTTATTGTATGTGTGTTTTATCCCTACATCTGCAACCTGCTAACTCCATACCGACCCATCCGCTCCCTCCGCTCAACAGACTCCAGCCTGCTCCATGTCCTCTGCTCTGCCCACCTCACCATTGGCGGTTGAGCCTTCAGCCTTTCTGCCCCCACCCTTTGCAACTCCATTCCACAGTCCCTGTCCCTTCGTGCCTTTTCTTGCCTCTTTCAAGGCCTATCTCAAGACCTTTCTCTTCAACTGTGCCTTCGGTCACCCTCCTACCATTACCCTCCCTGTCCTCCATACCCCTGATCGCAACCCCCTGCTTTGGGTCCAAATCCTTGAATGTCCAGCATCTTGAGACATCCTCCTGACATGAAAGTGCGTTTTAAGCGTAGTTTACTGCTGTTGTTTACCACAGAACAATTTACCTGGTCATGTGAGTTTCAAATCACTCAGGAGTGGGGAGCAAATGAACTAAATTAATCAATTCTACTCCCTGTATTTTTATTGAAAGATTGGGCTATTTAATGTTAAAGGAAGACTGTGCATGCTTCTGAGAGCTCAGACCAGCAAGGTGTAATTCTATCTTATGCCGAGTTAGCTAATCTCAGTGAGTGTGGTTGTAGGGGTATGAAAATTGGCCTCAGTGTCCCTCGGATACAAAGGATAAAATAAAGATATAGATGATGCCTGCTTATCTTCAACTTGGAGTTCACATTCTCACTACCAATTTATTGGTCAACCGACACATGCGGAAACTCATTACTATGTTTAAGCGTATCCAAACCAAGCCGAGATTTCCATGTATCCCACTTACACATGGAAATCCAAGAGATAGATTGTTGGAATGGAAAGCATACTCTCTCCCTGGAGGGACACATTCTACTTACCTAATTCTGGAAAGTACTAGGGACAGGTTGGCAAGACCAGGGGCTTGGGGACCCAGAGGGTGCGTTGGGGTACTGCTGGAGTCTATACTCAGCCATCAGGCGAAACCTTGGGCAAGTTTCCTTACTCTACACGCCTAATAATAATCCCTCCAAAACAAAAAACAATAATAAATTGGTCATTTTCAATCCACGACTGTTTGCTGCCGCATTTTGCCAACAAATATATGGTCAATTCACTTTACAGTATATTCTGTGAAGCTCTTTGAGACATCTAAAGATATGAAAAGCGCTATATCAAATGCAAGGATTATTATTATTATTATCTCCAGCACTAATGCTTCTCCAACACTCAGCCATTTCACCCACTAAATATATAGTCAATTCACTTTACAGTATATTCTGTGAAGTGCTAGAAATGTCTTGAATACATGATAGACACTATATCAAATGCAAGCTTCTCTAGCACTAAAGCTTCTCTAACACTAAGCCAACTCCAGTACTAAAGCTTCTGCAGCACCAAGCCATCTCCAGCACTCAACCAACTCCAGCACTCAACCATCTCCAGCACTAAAGCTTCTCTAGCCCTCAGTCATTTCGCCCACTAAATACACAGTCAATTCACTTTACAGCATATTCAGTGAAGTGCTAGAGATGTCTTGAATACATGATAGACACTACATCAAAAGCAAGGAATATTATTATCTCCAACACTCAGCCATCTCCAATATTAAAGCTTCTCCAATACTCAGCCATGTCCAGCATTAAAACTTTTCCTGCACTAAAGCTTCTCCAGCACTAAAGCTTCCCAGCACTCAGCCATCCCCAGCACTAAACCATCTCCAGCACAAAACCTTCTCCAGCTCTAACATTTCTCTAGCCCTAAACCTTCTATAGCCCTAAACCTTCTCTAGCCCTAAAGCTTCTCCAGCACTGAAGCTTCTCCATCACTGAAGCTTCTCCAGCACTCAGCCATCTCCAGTGGTCGACCACCTTCAATTCTCAGCCTAGTAATAACAAGCACGGCTGGGAGCACCAAAGCAGAGTTGGGAAAGTTGCATTGTATATATAATCCCCCCCACCCCACCACTACCATTAAATTTCAATTTGTAATCAATCCCAGGCATCCAACAGTCTATATGTAATGTATTTGCCTACATATAAACAGTTGCTTCACTTGACTGCAATTACTTATTAAGCCTTTCTGAGATGTTTTGATATGATCAGGAGCTATAAAAGTGCCGGTTATTTTTTCCATCTACTAAGAGTTAAGAATGTAAGACTGAAATTCAGGCCCAATTACTAAACGTGGAGCTTCATTCTCATACTTTATGATCATATCATAAACATTACAATTGAATTATACAGAATAAATGATGACAGGGATTCCACAACATGCCTGAAGAGTTTAAATGGCATCGTAAAGTAGCCTATCTGTTCAGTCCTGATTTATATAGTACCTAGGCAACAGCCCTCTTAAATTTCTTACTATAGTTTGTATTTTCCAATCCAGATTCACTGAAAGTTTCACAAGGCAAAAAGCAACCGGAAATCAGCAGTAACAACAGTATCCCTCCCACAAGATAATTTTATAAACAGATAAATGAGTCCAACAAGGTGAGCAGGTCAATCATGAAAAGTTAAATACTCCAGTCCTGATCGATTCAAGAAGTTGCTCCATTGATGTCTTTGTGGACAGAAGAAGTGGAGGGATTAATAAGTATGGAAAGACGGTTTCAAAGTGAAAAGTAAATTTGAGAATTTCCACAAATTCTGCATAAATTTTAATTATTAAGACATCAACTTAAGGCTAAAATCATGAGAAATTTGGGGCATCAGATGTTAAACAATAGTGATAATCACAGTGGCTGTTATAGTCTGCAGTCCATTCTGTCTAAACATAATGATGCACTTGGAATAATCTTGGGATTATTTGAAATCCAATTTATTTTGAAGACGCTGAGCACAGTATCAACTTTCGGCAAGATTTTGATGGTTGTGATCCTGAGCCATACAGGCCTTGAAGGTCCCAGATTCCATCTCTGATCTGTGCTGAGTTAGATGATCCTTGGCACGGTTGGGTTGCTTCCATCAGTCCCATAGACTCTGAGTTTGGGAGAGTAGGAGAGAGTGAGGAATCAGTCAGTCAGAGTTGCCCTTTTGCAAAAATGCTGCTGTATGGATAGGATTGGGTTTGGCTGTGATGCCCTCTATGGTTGAAAAATTGGCTTAGCATTCAATGTCAAATCTCACATTTGTAGAACAACCACTTGGACACAGTACCTAATTGTATGCCTATGGAGCTGTGGTCCAATTACTGCCTTCAAGACCAAACAGGAAATAAATAGAGGACGGAAACAAAACAAAATTTATCCTACTTCAGATCTAGGACTGATTTTGCAGCTTTTGGAAATACCACACACAGCGCAGTACACTCCAGACTCTGGGGGGCAATAACACGGCCTGTCAAGAGCACTGGACTCATGCTGAGTAGAAAATGGTGTCTGTCGTTTAAATCAGTCAAGTATAGAGGGGCAATAATATTTTCATCGCTAATCACCATGTGTTCAAACACAAAATTACACAGGTAATAAGCCGCTGTGTGAGATGCCCCAGTGAATGTCTCTTTAATTACAGAGCAATCCTGCTTACTCCAAGCTGCAGGGTACAATTAGCTGTGAAGCTGCTGAGAGAGATCTGGGGAGTGGAGGATGGGGGCAGAAAGAGAGGAAGGAGGTAGTGGGATTTTGAGCTGTCTTGCATTCCAATCAAATCATCACTGGGAGAGGCTTTAATGCGGCTGATCTCTGCAGCATTCAAAGTCCAGGCAGTTTGAATTGCTTTAATGGGGGGGGGGGGGGGGGGCTGATTCAGAGAAGGTTGTTAGTGATTTCTTGTTTAAGATTTTCATTTGATCTACTCACACAACATAACCCTGACGTGATGACAACCACACAGAAAGTTCACATATTTAAAGTTTCAACTACTCCACAAATATTATGATCAATCTTTGGTTGGTAATGCATTCAGAGGTTCTAAAATATCTTTGTATTATTCTTTTTAATGCTGATTCTTCCCTTTCCTGATGTCACTCTGGAACACAGTTTCATGGGTGCCTAGTATCTCTCAACAGCTAATACTTATGCAACACTATGCAAACTCACCGGTTGTCGGCCTTCCCAACTCCTCCCTCCACAGACTGCAGATCATCTCGAACTCTGTAGTCCTCTCCCACACTAGGCTCTGCGACCCTATCACCCCCATCCTTGCCCAACTCCACTGACTTCCCATCACACAGAGGATACAGGTCAAGATCCTGGTCCTCACCTTCAAAGCCCTCCACTGTCTTACTCCCCACTACCTCTCCGACCTCCTAACCCCCTACCACCCTGTTTGCTCCCTCTGCTCAGCGGGCTCTGGCCTGCTTCACGTCCCCCGCCTTGCTCTCCCCACTATCGGCGGACAGGCCTTCCATCACTCTGCACCCACCCTTTGGAACTCCATCTTGCAGTCCCTCCGTCTCACCCCCTCCCTCGCCACCCTCAAGATCCACCTCAAGACCCTCCTCTTCAACCGTGCTTTCGATCTCCCTGCTTCCCCCCATTGCCCTCCCTCCTCCCCCACCATGACCCTCTGCTCGGGTCCGTAACTCTGTCTGGCCAGCACCTTGGGACGTCTTCCCGACGTGAAAGGCGCTTTACAAATGTAATTTTGTTGTTGTTGTTATTATGTGTGTGAGCCTGGAGTGTTGGAATCACAGCTAAGCGCATTCCTATTCCTCAATAAATCTAAACCCAAGTAGAATTTCCAGGACCTTCTTCTTGAATTGGTTCCCATGCATGTGCTCTGCTCATGTGCTGTGTATGCCCAGGCTGCTGTAGTCACATTTCTCATTGTAGCGACACTGAAAAGATAATTACAATACTGTAGTGTGGAGTTGAGTTGTACCTATTGCTGTACTTTTTTTAAAAAACAGTAGCAATGTTGAAGTCAAAAGTCTCTTCTTTTACTGTCATAATACCCAGGGTATCACTTCAACAGTACTAAACATAGTATTAGGTAAGGTATTCCAAGGTGACCTCAGGGACTTGGAACTTCATCAGCATTATTGTATATACAGACAAGGAATCAATCAATCAATCAATGCAATTAGATAGGGTCTATTGTTATCCAGCACTGAGATGGAGTCTGCTTTTACTCAGCATCGAGGTATACTATTGCCTAAAATAACTTGGACTGTAGCCACCTGCAGTATCCACAGTCTTGGATACCCAGATTGCTGGAGCTTCTTTTACAAACATATTGTCATTCAGAACAAAACACAATTCTCAACAGAAATAAAACAAGAGGAATGAGCTCATCACCTTATTAATTTAGTTCAATACAATTGCTTCAAAGCAATGATAAAATCTCTGACCTGGTTCCAAACCAAGAAATAGTAATACTTACTCTAATATGCGCTTGTCCAAAAAGTCACACCTCTTATAATGTAATTTACCAGGAAAACTGCATTGAAAGATAATTCCATTACACAGCGGAGCTGATGTATGTGTGGTGCATGTGTTGTGTAGGGGAGCATTATAACATGAGGAGAGGGTTGTAATGTGGAGTCCTGTAGCTTAGTGGTTAAAGAACTCGCCTCCAGAGGACCTGGGTTTGATTCCTGGCAGGGCAAAAAGTTGGGCAGGTTTCCTTACTCCACACGCCAATGTTTACCTAGCAGTACATAGGAACCCGGTTGTTAGTCGATTGGCAGATCACTTTTCCGGGGGTAATAATCCCTTCAAAAAAGATATTAAAAAATAGTAATAATAATATGGTCACTTAATCCATGACTGTTTGTGAGATACTGCTGAAACACTCTGAGACCCTACCCTGCGTGGAGGTCGCTATATAAGTGCAAGTTGTTGTTGTACTTGTACTCAATTGGCTACTGCATTTAGCTAAATATAGTCAAATCACTTTACAGTATATTTTGTGAAGCACTTTGAGAGGTCTCAAAGATTTGATAAGACGCTATGTCAAATGCAAGGATTATTATTATTCATTACAGCAAGGCCCAAATATACAGACGATTATCATTCGGCCCAACTGGTCCATGCCATTTACATGTTTACACTGTACATGTGCCTCCACCCCTCCTAATTCTCTCTTCTACACCCCTCTACCTATTTTCCCTCATGTATTGTATAGGAGAGCTGTACAGACTGAAAAGGGAATCACACAGGGAATACAGCAGTGCCCAGAGAAGATGTGTAGACTGAACAATGAATGACAGGTGAGTTGACGCATCCCGTCAAATTAAAAAAAAGGACTAGATTCATTTGAGAAACGACAAAGAGGTTGAACTCCAGTACAATAACTCACTTTACTGAAAAATCTTTGTGAGAAAGTGAGGCTCTTCGTTCCCTAGTGTTGTTGTGTCAGCTCAGATTTTCATTAATCCGCCCACTCCACCTCCCACTCCAAAGGCAATAGCAAACACTCGCGTCCATTTAAGCTACGGGGGATGTGATGTACGGGGTGATGGGGAGAGGCCTGGACAGCACAATGTGGACTTGCATTAAATGCACAAGAGAGCCAGACTGAAGGGACAACTTGAGGAGAATGCTGTGCTCCCAGATCAGTGGTCTGCACTGTCGTTATTGTATCGCTTTAACTCAGGGCGATCCAACATTTTGGATGCCTCGAACCGCATTCCCTATTTGAGAAAGGTCTACTAGCCGCATCTGGCATGGGCCAGTTGGCGGCCCGTGGGCCACATCCGGCCCGAGACCATTTCCAACATTCCAACCCGCTCTTTCTCCCTGGTGAACATCCTCCCAGGGCAGCAACAGGAGCCGGCGCAGAGCCTCTACTGCAGTCTGTCAGGAAGGTAAGCGCCATCTCTAACCGCCAGCTCCTGCTACAGATAGTGACTCGCACTTGGGAGCAAGAGTAGGAGAGAGAGAGAGAGAGAAGAGGCGGGAGGGAGAGAGGGGGAGGGAGAAAGAGGGGGCAGAGAGAGTGAGGGGAAGAGGAGGGGGAGAGAGAGGGGGGAGAGAGAGATGAGGAGAGCTCGGGAGATAGGGGAGAGAGAGGGGGAGGGAGGACGAAGAGGGTGAAAGAGAAGGGGAGAAGGAAGAGAAAGAGGGGGAGAGAGGACAGAGGTGGGGGGCACAGAGAGGGAGAGGACACTCTCTTTTCCTCCCTCTCAGGCACTCTCTCTCTCTTTCTCCTCTCACACGCGCACTCTCTCTCAATTTCTCTCATTCCCCTTCTCACACCTTCTCACACTCTCCCTTCCCTCTCACACTCCACCTCCCCCCTCTCAATTATTCTCTCTCTCCTCTCTCCCTCTCGCCCCTCTCTGCTCCTCTCTTTCACCCCTCCTCTTTCTCTCCCCCTCCTCTCTCTCCCCCCTCACTCTCTCCCCCCTTCTCTCTCGTCCCCCTTCTCCTCCTCCCCCCCCCCTCTCCCCCCCCTCTCTCCCCCTCCCACCCTCTCCTCTCTCTCTCTCCCCCTCCCACCCTCTCCTCTCTCTCCTCCCTCTTTCTCCCCCTCCTTTCTCAACCCCCCCCAGTCTCTCCTCTCTCTCCCCCTCCCCTCTCTCCCCCTCCCCTCTCTCCCCCTCCTCTCTCTCCCCCCACGCCCACTCCCCCCCTCCTGTCTCCCCCCCTCCTCTCTCTCCCACCTCCTCTCTCCCCCCCCCTCCTCTCTCTCCCCCAAATGTGGGTCACTATCTGCAGCTGGTGGTTAGTTGCTAAGGACGTGGTTGGTAAGAGCTTCCTGACAGACTGCAGTAAAGGCTCTGCGCTCTGCGCCCTCCCATCCGCCGGCTCCTGGGAGGACGTTCACCTGGAAGGGAGGGAGGGAGGGAGTGGAAGTCGGATGGTGGAAATGGTCGCGGGCAGCACAAGATCACCTGCCAGGCCACCTGTTTCACCACACTGCTTTAACTCTTTCATATTAGTCCAAAGGCTTTGATTTGGGTGCAGTTCCTTTTCCTGTTTCTTCCCTTGATCCTTCCGTGTCAGGGGGACCGAACCCGGGGAACCCTGTCCCTACCCTTCACCAAATGCCACTTTCAAAGTGGGACCAGTTACTGGGGGGGGGGGAAACGGGAACAGCTGGAGTTCACACTCAGTCAGATAGCCCACTATTCTAGTGGCAGGGCATTGGATTTGTGGCAGTGGCAAGGCTGCAATTGAGACCTCGGGGTCAGGAGGGCACTGGGCACACATGCACCCTAGGGTGTATTTCTGTATGGTGCTGGCCATCATATACCCAGTAATGTGCACCATCACATCCTGACTCTTAACCCTTCACATCCAGTGTGGGGTCAGGGAATGCAGGTGGCGCGCTCCTTCGTGTAGAGAGAATTTTCCATTGATGAGTGAGTTTTGCAATCCAATAACATCAACGGGATCCAAGACCAACTAAGACCCTTCCACTCCACGGAGCTAATCAAAAATTTTTTGTTTGGAAATAAAAAGTTACTGGCATGCTGCTAAATGGTCACACCATATCACGTGGTACAGTGGTATCGTGCAGCTACAGTAATGGTGGCAAGGTTGAATTAGAGTTGAATTGTCAGAACAGCCTTTGTTGACGTGAAAGGCGCTATACAAATGTAATCCTCTTGTTGTTGTTGTTTGAGGATCCCAGTCTTGCTCCAAATTCCCCGTCTTCCACTCTATGTTTTTTTTCCCCCCCTTTATCTCCTGTGAGCTGGAATAATATCTGTGACTATGAAATCTCTCCACGTACCTTGAGGAATGATTGCTGGAGGGGAGCTTCTGTTCAGCATCGGCTGCTGGGCAACAGAACTGATGTAGAACATTTTCGTTTCTGTAGAAGGAGATGAAAACAAATGGAAATCAGTCTCGTTTATGGTGTATTATTGAAACAAGAGAAACAGACTGCTGAAGGGGTGAGGGGAGCATTTTGTCGGCAAACCGTCTGATCCTTGCTGTAATGCCATGGATAAACTGGGAGCAAATGATAGGACAGTCAAAAGGAGCTTTTCTCAGTATCAATCGCGTGCTACATCTGACCAGGGGTGCTGGTTGGGGCATTGTTGAGGGACCTTTACTCTGCATCTAACCTATCCAATTTCTGATCTGGAGTGGTGTAAAGGCAGCTTTACTGTGCCCCTAACCTATGCCACATTTGATCTGGGAGGGCTAAATCGGACAGTGCACAGAGAGTTTTAATCTGTTCCTAACTGATCCTGCACCTGACCTGGGAGTATCGAATGGTGCACGGTACATAGAGTTTTATTCTACATCTAACCTATGCTAAATCTCACCTAGAAATGCTCAATGGGACAGGAAAACAGGATCAGTTTTCTCATTTACACTCAGCGGGTCAGGCAGCATCTATGCAGAGAGGAAAGTTAACTCACTTTCCTCTCTTCATAGATGCTGCCTGACCTGCTGAGTGTTCCCAGCAACTTCTGTTTTTATTTCAAATTTCCAGCTCCTGCAGTATTTTGCCTTTTTTTGTGGGATCTTCTCAGAGCCCCCAAAAAGGTGGGGTGGGGGGGCAAGAGAGAGTGAGAAAGCTTTTTAAAAAATTAAATCCTCCTCATGTCTGGTTGCCTCATTGACATTACAAAATAGTACCAACCTGGTGCCTTTGGAAAGACAAACATTTTATTTGTATGGGAAATATCCACATATTGTAAAAATAAAATTCCTTGCATGGTTAATAGTGTATATGACAAATATCTTGACTTGCTAGGCATTCAATACCAGTGCAGGACTGTCACTCAAGAATTATCTAGTCAGCTCTCGTCTGGAGATATTTTTCACAGTGTGCCGTTGGCAAGGGCATCTCCTTACAGTAGGGTACAAATTCACACCTAGTTTAGCAGCAAACCCTCTTGGGCTTTTTTCCTTTGTTTTAAGCAAATTGTTATTAAATTAACCAACCCATCTGGGGTTCGGATCTTGTGGAAGAAAACAGTAACAGAAAAAAAACTGCAATACAGTAAGGAGCCAAATAAAGAGTCTTTGCCTGCAACTTCATAGTCACTCCACTGGACAGCAATCCCTCCGGAGCCGTTGAGACATTTTGACCTTACAGGCACTTACTCAAATATAAAGATTATTTAACTGTACATTCTGTCTGCAAGGGAAACATAACTTAAAGGGGGGCAAACAAACAACATGCAGGGAGGAAGGTGCATTTCTGTGTGTTGATATTTTATGAATTAATTCCTTTGTCAAAAATGAATCATGAGATGCTGCTGCACATAAGCCTGTGGCGCTCTTGCTTTCATGTGCTAGTTGAAAGGAGCTGGACAAGGGTGGGTGTTGCAATGCAATCTGAAAATGAATACACAGCCTGTTTGAAGGGTGAAAGGTCTACAATGAAGCTGCTTTGCTTAATTGCTGCCTTCCCCTAATAACAGCCTGATTGTCAGAGGCCATCGTTCAGTTACACCGAGTTCTCATTTTCAGTATCACTTTTTTCATATTAAAAACTAAACACTGTGTAGTTGCAACCTTCCTCCTCTGGTCGAATCCACGAACACGTCACCATTTTATTCGGTCGATGGCCAGACTCTTTGGTTGAGCTAAGACATCAATCAAATACAATCCAAGCAGATCTGTGAAAATGCTGCGATTCACGCTGGCTGCTATCTGTGTTTAAAACTGGACTGTAACTCACTGGCAGAGATCCATTATACTATAAATGATCTGAACCCAGGAATCCAATATTTTATGATATGGGGATGCAGATGCAAGTCACATTTATTCCTGTAGGATCTTGTGGTTATTTATATGCTATAATCCATTTTGATTTTATTAAAGAACTTGAGGGTGCCCAGCCTAGCTTGCAACGGCTCCATTCTGTGTTATTGATGCATTTTGGCATATACATAGAAGGATTAATGGCTGCGATACAATCAGTGCAAGTCCACTTGTAGTCAACAGTGCATTGTAAGTGATAATTCAGGATGCTGTATTATTTTAAAATTCCATTCACCAGTTCTTTCAGCTCTACAAGTCATTTCAAAGGGGTTCGGAAATTGCAATGTTACTTAGCAACCTGTTTACACAGTGCCCAGTCCGCTATCCCCTCGTCAGTCCGCGGTACTGAGGACTCAGCTGTGGATCATTTACTGTGTGAAATGCATGCTTAAGGTAAGCCTGTTTGCAGATAAGCTTCAACGCTGATAGACGCTGAATGACTTTGCCAAGAAATGTTATGTTTGGAGTAAGATTTCTCTGAACTTGCATTAAAAATAGCCAACTTGTAAATCTGCAGGTTACAGACAATTTAATCTTTCATTCAGCAACTCAGCCTGACCTCACATGTCCTAAATTATTTTAAAGAGAACTCTGCTACTCAAATCCCTTTTCAAGCAGGGGTCCCATTACTTAAATCTTTAGGGTTTGAATAAAACTAAATAAAATAGTTACCAGAAATTCTCAGCAACTTGAACATCCCTTTTCAGGTGCACACGTGTTTACTTGTTTAAACTGTGAGCATTGATCAAATCATTGGAGATGCTGGTGTGGACAAGTGTTCGAGCCTGACTTAGCAGAACTTGAGTTCTTAACCCTGGGTGCTTTAGCTGTCATGTCATTTTAACTGCATGAACTCATGCAATGCCTTCACTCCTCATTTCATGTTTTCAAGCTTGTATGATGCCATAGATTTATGTGACCGATCAAAGCAAATCAGATAAATTAACAGAGATGGAAAGAAAAACAAACGATGTTAGCGTTCATCAACACTCTTTGTAAACGTTTCATTTTGTACAATGTGCTTACTTAGGTAGGATTCCCTCATATAGATTTTACACAGAGCAAGAGGACTTTTAAAATAAAGTGCTGACTCCCAGCAGCATTCATTCGCTGATGCATTAGATTCAAAACCTGCCACATATGGAATATGGTCACATTTTGCCTGCTTGCCTTAGGAATTCTGTGTAGAGGTCAGCACGATGTTAGCTGGTTCTGTTGAAATAGTTTGATGCTGCAATGGGAAGATTGTAGGGTGGGCAATCTGGAAGAAGACATTAAATGCGCAGAAAGATCTTCTGCAACCAAATCTCTCTTCTGAGCTTTTGAGTTATCTTGACAACATCTTACTGTGTTGGTGAGTGGAAATGGGTTTGATTCATTGCAACTGTGTGTAATGGTTGTAATTGGGAAGGAAAAGCAACTGCATTAAAACCAACAAAGACAGTGCAAATATTGTAAAACCCTGCTCAGTGTTTGTTCAGCAAGGTTAAAGTCAAAACAACAACACCACCTTGCATTTACATCGTCCTTCGAGTGAGATGTTAAACCGAGGATCCGTCTCTCTGTTCAGGTGGATGTTAAAGATCTCTTGGCACTATTCAAAAAGGGAAGGGAGTTTCTCCAGGTGTCCTGACCACTGACCAACAATCCCCTAAATAAAATTGGACACTCACTCCGTGGTGGTTTGTGGGACATTACAGTGCACAACTGGCTGCCGCTTTTCGCCCACAAAATACATAGTCAATTCAGTATATCCTGTGAAGGATTTTGAGATATCTAGATGTCATGATCAAGCGCTACATCAAGTGGAAGGATTAATATTATTAATGGCTCCCTTCACACAGGGTTTCAACACTGTTAATATTGCAGGTGTTTGAAGTTCATTTAATTTAATGCTCCCAGAAGAAGCACATAAACTTTCACCCACAAAATATACAGTCAATTCACTTTACAGTATATTCTGTGAAGCTCTTTGAGATGTCACAAAGATGTGATAAGATGCTATATCAAATTTAAGGATTATTATCAACTGCTTTATAATGATTGCAAATTATTTTTTGGATCAGGCTGAGGGTCAACAGTCTGGGTAATGTGTTTCCATATGGTTCAGCGAGTTTATTCAGCAAATAGTTCAGGTTCCAGCTTTGATCCACTGTGAGTGCTGAGTTAGTTGATTCCTGGTCAGTGATGAGTTAGTTGATCTCAGCCAATTTGGTCTCCATGATTAGTCTTAACAACTTGGGTTAGAGAGGCTTAGTGGCCATGATGACTTAGGGAGGGGAAAATCAGTTGGAGTTTTATTATCCAGAGAGATGAGGAAGGTGTGTAGTTTATGTGGACACCGGGTGTGTATAGAACCAGATTCAACCTTGGTGTCCCTTATTATGATTGAATATATGCTGATACTCACTATCGAGGCTCGCACATGAATAATGACCAATTGGATGTGGTATAGGTACTCCAAAGGGTCCATACACTGCAGCATTAAAATCTTCAGCAAGGGTTGAAAAGCGAGAAAAATAAGACTGCTGTAAGCACAAGTCTGTTCTAACTGACTACATTGCAAGGTCACCCACCCAGTTTCCTATCATAATTAATTGTTATGGAAAAGGTTACTTTTCATTTTGTTCCATTTTCTGCATGAACAGTTACTCCTGTGAAATGAAAGAGACAAAGATCTTCAGAAATAAATGTGGAAGAGATAATTATTTATCATTGCCATGGAAACTGATAATTGGTTAATTCCATGTTGAGTCCAAGGAATGCAATTGGTCCAAAGAGCTGTTCCTAAAAGTTACGTCCACTTCGTATTTTGAAAGAGTTACTTGGTTCATTCACACTTGTATACACACACACATTCATTGACACATTACCCACCTCCAACCATACCTTACCCCAAATGCAGCCGAAAACCCTTGTGCATGCGTTTGTCACCTCCCGCCTGGATTATTCCAACTCAGTCCTCACCGGTCTCCCCAGCTCCACTATTCAAAAGGTCCAGCTCATTCAGAATTCTGCCACCTGCATACTGACCCGGATCAAACTCCGTACCCACATCTCACTAGTTCTGGTCAGGCTCCACTGCCTCTC